CCCTTGACTTGAATGAAGAGGTTAAGATTGTGAATTTTCTTTAATGTGTCATTTCAGGGTTACTGTTAAAATGATAAGGAGGATTATAGAATGATGAAGAAATTGATTGATGTAGAGGGTTATCCAAATTGGATGAGGAATGAAAGAAGGAGGTGGTAGGAAGTGAAGATTATGAGGATAAGGAGGATAGATAACGATTGACCCTTGACTTGAAGAGGTTAAGATTGTAGTGTAGAGGGTTTTTGTTAAAATGGAATTGATGAATGAGGTGAAAATATAGGAAACAATCATAGGAAAAGTGAAATTATGAGGAGGAAATTATATTTCATTTTGACTTTGAATCTGGAAGGTAGAGGGTTATATTAAAAAAAAATGAGGAGGAAGATGTTTTTAAAATGAAATGAGGATTAGGGGATAAAATTGAATAAAAAATGAAGGATAAAGGATAGAAACGATTGAGACTTTAAGAGGTTAAGATTTAGAGGGTTACTGTTAAAATTAAAATGTTAAAATGAAAGAGAGTATGAATTGATGAATAAGGAGGAGGTATTGTGATAGGAATGATTTAAAAGATTGACCCTGTTAAAATGGTTATTATGATGAGTGAAGAATTATGAGGATAAGGAGCTTAAGGAGGATAGATAACGATTGACCCTTGATTTGAAGAGGTTAAGAATTATAGTGTATGATGAGGTTACTATAAAATGGGGAAAGTAGGAGGATGAATGAGAATATTATGAGGAAAGGAGGATAACGATTGACCCTAGATTTAAAAGGTTCAAGATTGTAGAAAAAATGTGAAGAATTCTTGAGGATAAGGAGGATAGATATCGATTGATTTATTCACTTGAGGTTGAAGAGGTTTACTGTTAAAATGGTTTGATGATTGTCGAAGAAGAGGTGTAGGGGGTTACTTTGAATGAAGATAAAATTGACCCTAGATTTAAAGATGAGAAAATAGTGAGAGGTGTTAAAATATGTGATAGGTAAATGAAAGAGGAGGTGGTAGGAAGTGAAGATTATGAGGATAAGGAGGATAGATAACGATTGACCCTTGACTTGAAGAGTTAAGATTGTAGTGAAGAGGGTTACTTAAAATGGTTTGATGAATGAGGTTAAAAAAGATTAAACTGATGAATGATAGATAACGATGGACCCTTGATTTGAGAGGAATAGGGAGGGTTACTGTTAAAATTCGAATGTGATGGAGAAATGAAGAGGAGGAGTTCCTGTGAAGATAAGGAGGTGATAGATAACGATTGACCCTTGACTTGAAGAAAGAGAAAAGGTAGAACTGTTAAAATGGTTTGATGAATGAGTGAGGAAGGAAAGAGGGGTTAATTTTGTTAAAATGGTTGATGATGATTTGAGGTTGTGTGATAGGAATGAAATGAGGAGGTTGGTAGGTTGGTAAAGGTGAAGAGGTGAGGATAAGGAGGATAGATAACGATTGACCCTTGATTTGAAGAGGTTAAGATTGTAGATGAAGGTTAGAGAATGGTTACTGTTCCTGGGAAGGAAAAGGAGGTGGTTAAGTGAATATTATGAGGATAAATGATAGATAAATATTGACCCTTGATTAAAATGAGATTCGAATAGAGGTTACTGTTAAAAATGGTTATGATGAATGAGGTGTGATATGAAATGAAAGAGGAGGTAGTGAGGAAGTGAATATTATGAGGATAAGGAGGATAGATAACGATTGACCCTTGAGGTGAAGAGGTTAAGATTGTAGTGTAGAGGGTTACTGTTAAAATGGATATGATGAATGAATGATGAAAAGGTGTATGTTAGGAAGTGAATATTGGGGAATGAAAGAGGAGATTAAAAGAGGTTGGTAGGAGAGGGTTGAAAATTATGAGGATAAGGAGGATAGATAATGAGGATAATGAGGACCCTTGACTTGAAGAGGTTAAGATTGTAGTGTAGAGGGTTACTGTTAAAAAATGGTTATGATGAATGAGGTGTGTGATAGGAAGGAAAAAGGAGGTGGTAGGAAGTGAAGATTATGAGGATAAGGAGGATAGATAACGATTGACCCTTGACTTAAAGAGTTTAAGATTGTAGTGTAGAGGGTTACTGTTAAAATGGTTATGATGAATGAGGTGTGATAGGAAGGAAAGAGGAGGTGGTAGGAAGTGAAGATTATGAGGATAAGGAGGATAGATAACGATTGACCCTTTTTGTTTTGAAGAGGTTAAGATTGTAGTGTAGAGGGTTACTGTTAAAATGGTTATGATGAATGAGGTGTGTGATAGAAATGAAAGAGGAGGTGGTAGGAAGTGAAGATTATGAGGATAAGGAGGATAGATAACGATTGACCCTTGACTTGAAGAGGTTAAGATTGTAGTGTAGAGGGTTACTGTTAAAATGGTTATGATGAATGAGGTGTGTGATAGGAAGGAAAGAGGAGGTGGTAGGAAGTGAAGATTATGAGGATAAGGAGGATAGATAACGATTGACCCTTGACTTGAAGAGGTTAAGATTGTAGTGTAGAGGGTTACTGTTAAAATGGTTATGATGAATGAGGTGTGTGATAGGAATGAAAGAGGAGGTGGTAGGAAGTGAAGATTATGAGGATAAGGAGGATAGATAACGATTGAGCCTTGATTTGAAGAGGTTAAGATTGTAGTGTACTGTTAAAATGGTTATGGTGAATGAGGCGTGTGATAGGAAAGAAAAGAGGAGGTGGTAGGAAGTGAAGATTATGAGGATAAGGAGGATAGATAACGATTGACCCTTGATTTGAAGAGGTTAAGATTGTAGTGTAGAGGGTTACTGTTAAAATGGTTATGATGAATGGGGTGTGATAGGAAGGAAAGAGGAGGTGGTAGGAAGTGAAGATTATGAGGATAAGGAGGATAGATAACAATTGACCCTTGACTTGAAGAGGTTAAGATTGTAGTGTAGAGGGTTACTGTTAAAATGGTTATGATGAATGAGGTGTGTGATAGGAATGAAAGAGGAGGTGGTAGGAAGTGAAGATTATGAGGATAAGGAGGATAGATAACGATTGACCCTTGACTTGAAGAGGTTAAGATTGTAGTGTAGAGGGTTACTGTTAAAATGGTTATGATGAATGAGGTGTGTGATAGGAATGAAAGAGGAGGTGGTAGGAAGTGAAGATTATGAGGATAAGGAGGATAGATAACGATTGACCCTTGACTTGAAGAGGTTAAGATTGTAGTGTAGAGGGTTACTGTTAAAATGGTTATGATGAATGAGGTGTGTGATAGGAATGAAAGAGGAGGTGGTAGGAAGTGAAGATTATGAGGATAAGGAGGATAGATAACGATTGACCCTTGACTTGAAGAGGTTAAGATTGTAGTGTAGAGGGTTACTGTTAAAATGGTTATGATGAATGAGGTGTGTGATAGGAAGGAAAAGAGGTGGTAGGAAGTGAAGATTATGAGGATAAGGAGGATAGATATCTATTGACCCTTGACTTGAAGAGGTTAAGATTGTAGTGTAGAGGGTTACTGTTAAAATGGTTATGATGAATGAGGTGTGTGGAGGAATGAAAGAGGAGGTGGTAGGAAGTGAAGCTTATGAGGATAAGGAGGATAGATAATGATTGAGCCTTGACTTGAAGAGGTTAAGATTGTAGTGTAGAGGGTTACTGTTAAAATGCTTATGATGAATGAGGTGTGTGATAGGAATGAAAGAGGAGGTGGTAGGAAGTGAAGATTATGAGGATAAGGAGGATAGATAACGATTGACCCTTGACTTGAAGAGGTTAAGATTGTAGTGTAGAGGGTTACTGTTAAAATGGTTATGATGAATGAGGTGTGTGATAGGAAGGAAAGAGGAGGTGGTAGGAAGTGAAGATTATGAGGATAAGGAGGATAGATAACGATTGACCCTTGACTTGAAGAGGTTAAGATTGTAGTGTAGAGGGTAACTGTTAAAATGGTTATGATGAATGAGGATCTTGTGTGATAGGAATGAAAGAGGAGGTGGTAGGAAGTGAAGATTATGAGGATAAGGAGGATAGATAACGATTGACCTTTGACTTGAAGAGGTTAAGATTGTAGTGTAGAGGGTTACTGTTAAAATGGTTATGATGAATGAGGGTGTGTGATAGGAATGAAAGAGGAGGTGGTAGGAAGAGAAGATTATGAGGATAAGGAGGATAGATAACGATTGACCCTTGACATGAAAGGTTAAGATTGTAGTGTAGAGGGTTACTGTTAAAAATGGTTATGATGAATGAGGTGTGTGATAGGAATGAAAGAGGAGGTGGTAGGAAGTGAAGAGGGAGGATAAGGAGGATAGATAAATTGACCCTTGACTTGAAGAGAATTAAGATTGTAGTGTAGAGGGTTTTTGTTAAAATGGTTATGATGAATGAGGTGTGTGATAGGAATGAAAGAGGAGGTGGTAGGAAGTGAAGATTATGAGGATAAGGAGGATAGATAACGATTGACCCTTGACTTGAAGAGGTTAAGATTGTAGTGTAGAGGGTTACTGTTAAAATGGTTATGATGAATGGGGTGTGTGATAGGAATGAAAGAGGAGGTGGTAGGAAGTGAAGCTTATGAGGATAAGGAGGATAGATAACGATTGACCCTTGACTTGAAGAGGTTAAGATTGTAGTGTAGAGGGTTACTGTTAAAATGGTTATGATGAATGAGGTGTGTGATAGGAATGAAAGAGGAGGTGGTAGGAAGTGAAGATTTGAGGATAAGGAGGATAAGGAGGATGAAGAGGTTATGATTGAGTGTTTGACGAAGGTAATTTGAAAAATCAATGTCAGTGCAACTTTTATCTTACATTTGAGAGCACGAAGGAAAAGATTCGATTCCGTGGAAGGCTTCTTGCCTAGCTGTAAATCTTCGAAATGGTGCAATTAAAGAATGTTTTTTTAACGTTTAATCAGTTAATGAGATATGTTTATTTGAAGATCATGCTTCTATATTCAAAGAATCTGACATGAAATAATGTTTGTCTTTGAAATTCTTTTATTCCGAAAATGCGTCGGTGATGAGGGAAATACTCACGTTTGTAAGGGTTTGGTCGGCACACATTGGATTCGGTCGATTCTGGGAGACTGGAGCAATTGATCGGCCAAGAATCATTGCCAAAAAGATCTTTCTGGCATTTTTCACGAACCACTGAAAAACGACGTAGATATATATCTATCATTGTCTTGGATTAAATAGCAATAAAACAAAAAGTAATGTTAATGAACAAATACAGAAAAGAGCAATTTAATTCACCACCCTCATATTCCGATCGTTACGAGATACGTTCGTCTATCGCCCGGTTCACAAACCTCCCGATCATTTGAACAGGAGTAGAGATGTATCCCTTGTTTTCTCTTTAGGATTGAGTATCTGGTTAGAATTCAATTCCTTCTCTTTCACTCCCAGAATCCCCTCAAGACATAGCGGCATTATTGCCTTTCATGGCGTGAATTCATTAAGAAGAACAAAAAGAAAAACGGTTAGGTAATAGATGTAAAGTTTCCCTACGAGACACGAACTCGTATCTTTTTCAGAGCTACTGATACAATGGCACAAATGCGGGAAGCCATATTTCTCCATAAAGCCGTCAATCTTTATTTTTCGAAAAACATTTTATAGGCAGTTTATATTTGTTTACATCCGTGTATGGAGAGGTGGACAGTATTTGAATTTATAATCAATTATTCTTATTTATTGGCAAGTATTTTTTTTTCATCTTAATGTCTGTTTTCTTTCAGTTCAACACATTCTATTCTTTTCCTCGCTAGAGAATGAATGTAAGTTATAATTTAGGCGTTTGTTTATTTTTCCGAATGTAGAATGTTGGTCTTAGAAAATCAGCAAAACGTAACTGGAATTATAATGAAAACCTAAGAGTATGAACGAATAATAATACATTATCATCTATACTTCATCAAACATATTTATATAACTTAGGACTATTACAATTACGAGAGAAATAAGATGAAAGAAATCCTAGTGAAAAATGAATAATAATTGCCAAGGCTTCATCTAAGAAATTCAGACAACATAAGATTATTACTTACTTGGTGAGAAAAGAAATAATTAGAAAAGAGAATATATAATTAGTTTAGATAAGAAATTCAGACAACTTAAAATAAGCAAGAGAAATTAAATGAAAGAAAATGAAAAATGAATAATAATTGCCAAGGCTTCATCTAAGAAATTCAGACAACATAAGACTATTACTACTTGGTGGAAAAGCAAGAGAAATTAGAGGAAAGAAATACTAGTGAAAAATGAATAATAATTGCCAAGGCTTCATCTAAGAAATTCAGACAACTTAAGACAATTACTACTTGGTGGAAAAGCAAGAGAAATAAGATGAAAGAAATACTAGTGAAAAAATAAATAATAATTGACAAGGCTTCATCTAAGAAATTCACTAAGACTATTACTACTTGTTGGAAAAAAGAAAATTAAGATGAAAGAAATACTAGTGAAAAAATGAATAATAATTAACAAGGCTTCATCTAAGAAATTCAGACTAAGACTATTACTATCAAGAGAAATAAGATGAAAGAAATTAGTGAAAAATGAATAATAATTTAAGACTATTCAGACAACTTAAGACTATTTTGGTGGAAAACTTAGTGGAAAAGCAAAAGAAATTAGATGAAAGAAATCCTAGTGAAAAATGAATAATAATTGCCAAGGCTTCATCTAAGAAATTCAGACAACATAAGACTATTTACTGGAAAAGCAAGAGAAATAAGATGAAAGAAATAAGAGAAAAAAATGAATAATAATTTCCAAGGCTTCATCTAAGAAAAGACAACTTAAGACTATTACTACTTGGTGGAAAAGCAAGAGAATTAAGATGAAAGAAATACTAGTGAAAAATGAATAATAATTGCCAAGGCTTCATCTAAGAAATTCAGACAACTTAAGACTAGACAACTTGGTGGAAAAGCAAGAGAAATTAGATGAAAGAAATACTAGTCAAAAATGGAAAAGACAAGGATCTAAGAAATCAGAAGATGAACTATTACTACTTGGTGGAAAGTCAAGAAAATGAATAATAATTGAAAATAAATAATAATTGACAAGGCTTCTAAGAAATTCAGACAACTTCAGACTATTACTACTTGGTGGAAAAGCAAAGAAGAAATTTAGTCAAAAATGAATAAAAGAAAGGCTTCATCTAAGAAATTCAAAATAAATAATAATTGACAAGAGCTTGAAAGAAATCTAAGAAAAATGAATAATAATTGACAATTCATCTAAGAAATTCAGACAACTTAAGACTATTACTACTTGGTGGAAAAGCAAGAGAAAAAATGAAAGAAACTTAGTCAAAAAAGAGAATTTAGACAAAAGAATTACTAGTGGAAAAGCAAAAGAAAAATAAATAATAATTGACAAGGCTTCATCTAAGAAATTCAGACAACTTAAGACTATTACTACTTGTTGGATTGTAAAGAGAAAAAAAGATGAAAGAAAAGTCAAAAATGAATAATTTGACAAGGCTTTCATCTAAGAAATTCAGACAACTTAAGACTATTACTACTTGGTGGAAAAGCAAGAGAAATAAGATGAAAGAAAAATGAATAATAATTGACAAGGCTTCATCTAAAAATTCAGACAACTTAAGACTATTACTACTTGGTGGAAAAGCAAGAGAAATTAAGATGAAAGAAATACTAGTGAAAAAATGAATAATAATTGACAAGGCTTCATCTAAGAAATTCAGACAACTTAAGACTATTACTACTTGGTGGAAAAGCAAGAGAAATAAGATGAAAGAAATACTAGTGAAAAATGAATAATAATTGACAAGGCTTCATCTAAGAAATTCAGACAACTTAAGACTATTACTACTTGGTGGAAAAGCAAGAGAAATAAGATGAAAGAAATACTAGTGAAAAAAATGAATAATAATTGACAAGGCTTCATCTAAGAAATTCAGACAACTTAAGACTATTACTACTTGGTGGAAAAAAAAGCAAGAGAAATAAGATGAAAGAAAACTAGTGAAAAATGAATAATTTTTTTCTAAGAAATTCAGACAACTTAAGACTATTTCTCAAGATAAATAAGATGAAAGACTGCTTTTAAGAAATCAGACAACTTAAGACAATTGGTGGAAAAGCAAGAAATAAATGAAAGAAATATTAAAAAATATGAAAATTGAAAAAATGTGAAAGAAATAAGTGAAAAATGAAATTCCATTTTAAAAACCCTGAAAGACTGTTTATGCTACCAAATTCTATTAAAAATAAATTCTATTTTTTATGATTTAATTCGCTTTAACGATGAATTAAAAGAATTCAAACACCACATCTATGAATCGGTATTTCTCCTTTTATTATAAAGCCTGTAGAGAAAATTGTCCGGAAAAAAACATTCATTCGCGTTATAAAATGTTTGAATGAAAAATTAATTGAAAGGGCAATTATACTAAATGATAATTATTTGAAATGCCTATATTTGAAATACGTATGTGCTCTTGCTTTGAGATTCAATGCAGATTTACCTAGAACTAATAACGCTCTTGAATGATAATATAGGACTTGTATGCAGGAGGTGTCATCCCTTGATCTCACAATCTGGAAATTCTTAGAGGGAGAACAGAAGTTGCAAGAAATTCATATTGTAAAAGTTGCAGCAGGTTGCCAAAAAATCAGGAACGCCAAGAAATACAGCGAAGTAAATGGAAAACTTTAAAAAAAAATAGCGGCATCCTCTGTCACTCTTCGGTGGTTGGCTCATTGCCTGTAGTATCATATAACTTAAGGTTATAAGGATCTTTCTTACTAAATTGTTTTAATAACGATATTTTTATTTCGAATAATTGTCATTTGTGTTCTTCTTTTTTAATTTTTTAAATATCTGTTGTAATAAAGAATTTTGCATTTCGAATAATTTTCATTTATTACAATTGTCCTTTCGATTAATTTTCATTCAAACAATTTACAATTCGAATAAATATTTTTCGAATAATTATTTTCGAACAATCTTCTTGAAACTAGATTTTTTATTTGTCATCTTTTGTTTGCCTTTTTGTTATTGTCTTAAAACCTTTTGTTTGCCTTCTTCTCATTGTTTTCTTTGTCTTAAAACATCTTGTTGGCCTTCTTGTCATTGTCTTCTTTTTCTTAGAACCTTTTGTTTGCCTTCTTGTCATTGTTTTCTTTGTCTTAAAACCTCTTTTTTGCCTTCTTGTCATTGTCTTCCTTGTCTTAAAACCTTTTGTTTGCCTTTTTGTTATTGTCTTCTTTGTCTTAAAACCTTTTGTTTGCCTTCTTGTCATTGTTTTCTTTTTCTTAAAACCTCTTTTTTGCCTTCTTGTCATTGTCTTCTTTGCCTTTTTGTTATTGTCATTTCAATCTTAAAAAACTTTTGCTTGTCATCTTGTATTTATTTTTATCTTAAAACTTTTTGCTTATTATCTTGTTATTGTCATCTTTATCTGCCTGCCTTTTGATGCATGTATAATAAGGTATTTTTATCTTGCCTGTTTTGAAAACGAGTTTCTGAATATAAATCATCACATAAGAAAAATTAAAAATGTCAATGTCATATGATACTCACCTTCACAGAAAGAACGACAGGGTGGAATGGCAGCACCATTCACACATTCCGGGGCTAGTATTGTGCACCAGAAATCCGTAGCATAATCATAACACTTGTTCTGTGACAGTTCACTGATGCTATAACTGTAGGACATGGCTTCGTTCTGGCTACGATGACCCAGAAAGTTTGGTAAATATGTTGACCTATATGTTGTCCGATTCAAGCAAAACCCTACAGCCAGAGGTTCACACGTCGGCGATATTTTATGATCTACTAATAAAAGACAAAATTTAAACTGACAAATAACAACCTATTTTCCTTAGTATCGCTTCAAGTAACAATTGCGTTTGCATGGTTTGCTTCTTTAAAATTCAGTTTTCTAGAGAAGATAAAGTAAAAAGTGGTAAAAATGATTCCTTAATAAATGAAATTCTAATAGAAAATCAACGATTCACGTCGTCACTTTATACAAGAGGTCCTTAACCACCAGGCCGCCCGAATCCTTTGCTACAGGACCGCAACGAAAATAATTAATTTGTTTAAAATTATATATCTAAATTGAATATTGGACTTTAATTTAAAAGAATTTGTTTAAATATTCGGTATTATCTGTCATAAGTGTAAGTACATTCTATAATTAATATATTTTTTATAATGCAAGTACAATTTATAAAATATTAAATCTGTACATTTCAAAGTACATTTTATATTAAAGTATTATTTTATTAAAATATTATTTTAAAGTACATTTTTTTAAAAGTAGGTATTATAAAAAATATATTTTATAAAAAAGTACATTTTATAATTAAAGTATATTTTTATTTTTTATTTTATTTTCAACTAGCAGTAGAGCCCGGCGTTGCCCGGGGATGTAACAGTAAGAGATAGATCAAGTATCGGCCATCATAAAGACTGAAAAATAAAATTGACAAAGATTATTGTTTAAGGTTGACGGACACGCATATCTTAATTAGTTTTGTTTTTTGGGGGTTTTTTTTTACGAATTGGTCAAACCCAAACTCAAACAAAAACATTGTTTTCAATCGTTATGAGTCTACCCATTGAATAGAATTTTATTATAAACAGTTGACTTGTTAATGGAATTTTTAAAGCATTCTGAATGTAAAAATAAAGAAAAAAGTGTGCAAGACAATAAGAAACACTACCTGCCCCCACCCCGCCAAGTAAAGTTTTGTTGAAATCGGTTGAAAAATGTAGGAAATCCGATCTCATATATAAACGAACACACACACACACAAACAACCTGGGTTTTATAATAAGTATACCTCGATATGAGTTGTCCCCCTTTCATTCTCGCAATGCCTCTTAATCGTGTTTTCAAATTGATTTTGTGCAAAAACAATTGTGTTTTTCCAATTCTTGGTGCTGTCAGAACCACCGCAAGGTAATTTTACATAGTTCTGTGAAGTTTTCTTGAAATAGGTTGAAAAATGTAGGAAATCCGATCCAATATATAAACGAACACACACACACACAACCTGGGTTTTATAATAAGTATGATTATCAACTAATTTTTATATTCTACATTATGGTGAGTTGATATTGACTTGATAATAGTGTAATAATTGATAGAAGGGAAACGAAGACTGCAACGATGTGGTCGAACTGGAGCACAGATATGAAAGTCACAAAATTATGCTCTTTTTATTATTGATCTCTATCGAAATGTACATTAGGCTGTGATCAAAATGTTATATCCGTTCTCCTCATCTCTAATGGTAATGGTAATATTAAATATTGGTTTTTCATTGTGGGATACATTTTCTTATTTTTTTTAATCTGATTGTTTAGGCTTAAATACATGTATTATTCACAGTAAAAGTTTCATTAATCTCTGTTAGAAATACCTAAAGAAACATTTTTGTGATGTGTTATAAATTTTTGCGTGGCACTGTATATAAAAGGGATCCTCAAAGACACATAGCCCAATGGATAAACGCCTTAGTTGAAGCCAGTGATATACTTGTAAGTTCAATACCTGAGGTTTACACAAAAACTTAGATAGTTGAGTTAAAGGGAGATAACTCATACCGAAACATCCTGAAGAGGCATGGGACGTAGAACTAGAACAATCTACACCGGTGGACGAAAGAAAGTGTTCAGTTCGAAATTCCAATGACCTGAAGAATATAGAGAGATATAGAAGGCCGTAGCGTACAACGGTCTAAACGTCGTAAATATGGCAACGAAGATGAGGACAACAGTCCGCACAATGTAAATAGTGTAAATAATTACAATACCTCATCTCAGAAATATAGACAGATATAGAAGAAGGCCGGAGCGTACAACGGTCTAAACGTCGTGAATTGGACAACGAAGATGAGGACAACAGTCCAAACAATGTAAATAGTGTAAATAATTACAATACCTCATCTCAGAAATATAGACAGATATAGAAGAAGGCCGAAGCGTACAACGGTCTGAACGTCGTGAATATGGCAACGAAGATGAGGACAACAGTCCGCACAATGTAAATAGTGTAAATAATTACAATACCACATCTCAGAAATATAGACAGATATAGAAGAAGGCCGGAGCGTACAACGGTCTAAACGTCGTGAATTGGACAACGAAGATGAGGACAACAGTCCAAACAATGTAAATAGTGTAAATAATTACAATACCTCATCTCAGAAATATAGACAGATATAGAAGAAGGCCGAAGCGTACAACGGTCTAAACGTCGTGAATATGGCAACGAAGATGAGGACAACAGTCCGCACAATGTAAATAGTGTAAATAATTACAATACCTCATCTCAGAAATATAGACAGATATAGAAGAAGGCCGGAGCGTACAACGGTCTAAACGTCGTGAATTGGACAACGAAGATGAGGACAACAGTCCGCACAATGTAAATAGTGTAAATAATTACAATACCTCATCTCAGAAATATAGACAGATATAGAAGAAGGCCGAAGCGTACAACGGTCTAAACGTCGTGAATTGGACAACGAAGATGGGGACAACAGTCCGCACAATGTAAATAGTGTAAATAATTACAATACCTCATCTCAGAAATATAGACAGATATAGAAGAAGGCCGGAGCGTACAACGGTCTAAACGTCGTGAATTGGACAACGAAGATGAGGACAACAGTCCAAACAATGTAAATAGTGTAAATAATTACAATACCTCATCTCAGAAATATAGACAGATATAGAAGAAGGCCGAAGCGTACAACGGTCTAAACGTCGTGAATTGGACAACGAAGATGAGGACAACAGTCCGCACAATGTAAATAGTGTAAATAATTACAATACCTCATCTCAGAAATATAGACAGATATAGAAGAAGGCCGGAGCGTACAACGGTCTAAACGTCGTGAATTGGACAACGAAGATGAGGACAACAGTCCAAACAATGTAAATAGTGTAAATAATTACAATACCTCATCTCAGAAATATAGACAGATATAGAAGAAGGCCGAAGCGTACAACGGTCTAAACGTCGTGAATATGGCAACGAAGATGAGGACAACAGTCCAAACAATGTAAATAGTGTAAATAATTACAATACCTCATCTCAGAAATATAGACAGATATAGAAGAAGGCCGAAGCGTACAACGGTCTAAACGTCGTGAATTGGACAACGAAGATGAGGACAACAGTCCAAACAATGTAAATAGTGTAAATAATTACAATACCTCATCTCAGAAATATAGACAGATATAGATGAAGGCCGGAGCGTACAACGGTCTAAACGTCGTGAATTGGACAACGAAGATGAGGACAACAGTCCAAACAATGTAAATAGTGTAAATAATTACAATACCTCATCTCAGAAATATAGACAGATATAGAAGAAGGCCGGAGCGTACAACGGTCTAAACGTCGTGAATTGGACAACGAAGATGAGGACAACAGTCCAAACAATGTAAATAGTGTAAATAATTACAATACATCATCTCAGAAATATAGACAGATATAAAAGGAGGCCGGAGCGTACAACGGTCTAAACGTCGTGAATTGGACAACGAAGATGAGGACAACAGTCCAAACAATGTAAATAGTGTAAATAATTACAATACCTCATCTCAGAAATATAGACAGATATAGAAGAAGGCCGTAGCGTACAACGGTCTAAACGTCGAATTGGACAACGAAGATAAGGACAACAGTCCGAATAATGTAAATAGTGTAAATAATTACAATACCTCATCTCAGAAATATAGACAGATATAGAAGAAGGCCGTAGCGTACAACGGTCTAAACGTCGTGAATTGGACAACGAAGATAAGGACAACAGTCCGAATAATGTAAATAGTGTAAATAATTACAATACCTCATCTCAGAAATATAGACAGATATAGAAGAAGGCCGGAGCGTACAACGGTCTAAACGTCGTGAATTGGACAACGAAGATGAGGACAACAGTCCAAACAATGTAAATAGTGTAAATAATTACAATACCTCATCTCAGAAATATAGACAGATATAGATGAAGGCCGGAGCGTACAACGGTCTAAACGTCGTGAATTGGACAACGAAGATGAGGACAACAGTCCAAACAATGTAAATAGTGTAAATAATTACAATACCTCATCTCAGAAATATAGACAGCTATAGAAGAAGGCCGGAGCGTACAACGGTCTAAACGTCGTGAATATGGCAACGAAGATGAGGACAACAGTCCAAACAATGTAAATAGTGTAAATAATTACAATACATCATCTCAGAAATATAGACAGATATAGAAGAAGGCCGTAGCGTACAACGGTCTAAACGTCGTGAATTGGACAACGAAGATAAGGACAACAGTCCGAATAATGTAAATAGTGTAAATAATTACAATACCTCATCTCAGAAATATAGACAGATATAGAAGAAGGCCGTAGCGTACAACGGTCTAAACGTCGTGAATTGGACAACGAAGATGAGGACAACAGTCCGAACAATGTAAAAAAGTTTATAAAAGAAATAGCCTTTGTTTATTTTGTCTTTTGTCCTATTATTTCTTGCGATGTTAAAGCACTCACAAACATACAATCCAGTCACGTAGATACATATATATGCAAGCAAAAACAATATATACGGCATTTTAAGATAAATAAAGTTATTGAAAATATTTCTTTTATTTCTTTCTCTGTTTTCGTAAACTGACTTGGCGTTTTACTTAAAGGCAAAACATTTAACACCCACAAATCCTTGCGTTTTATTATGGCTTCCTTTTACCTGTTTATTTCTATAAACCCTTGCTTTTGCACGAATTGAGACAGAAAACTGAATTGACATTTTCTATCTCTAATGA